AGCGTTTTAAAATTATTTACCTCTAAAACACGCCACTTGTTATTTATGAAATTCGTATTTTATTAAAAAATATGTGGAATTTGGTATACTCAATTTTTTTAACGATTAGATTAAGTCGTTTTTTACAAAAGACCCTATTAATAAATATTTTAATATTTTATATTTTAAGATTGATTCTAGTAAAAGGTAATTTTTGCCCCAACAAGCCCCAAACCCCTGGCTTGAAGATTATATTAATTTATTAAGTCTCCTATAGGATAATTGTTATTATCAATAATATTTTTATAATGCTTTATATCATTCGTACCTTCAAAAGTAACTTTTTACACTTTTACTATTTTTCAAAAATAAAAATTAATATACAATTTTACCACACAAAAATCTTCTTATATAAAAGAAAAAATCCTATTTTATAGAATAACAATTTACCCGAACAAAATTGATAATATAAATACTTCAAAATATGATCTTAATCAAAGTGGTGCTACTGGGGCTATTTTTATGGGGTTAGGTCGAACCTTTTTTTTTGCTATTTTTTAAAAATTTGACATGCAAAAAAAGCCAAGGAGAGACCAACTAAAAGAAAAAAAGAAACATGTTATTATATGATAAATAATTGTTTGGTATACAAATAAATTATATCAAGCATAACAATCAAGACTGCTTTCAATGTCAGTTATTAGTTACATGGCTTTGCAATTTTATTGTTTTTTTATTAGCAAAGATTGTGAATGTTTTAAATGATTTTATACAGTGACCCCTACACTTTTTGAGGGATAGAAGCAGAATACCTCCCTAAAGTACCCCCCCCCCCCCCATTGTAAATTATTTTTTGACACCAATAAATTTCAAAAATAATTTTTATTGCATCAATATTTATTATAATATAAATATAATGTAAAAAATATATGCTTTAAAAATATTATTTTTAAATTAATAATTTAGATAAATTAGGGGAAAAGAAAGCAAAAGAATTTATAATTTCATCAATATTTAATTGTTTAAATAAATTATTTTCCATTGATAAAATGGTTAAATTATTAAGAAATGGATCTTTCATGACACTACGAAGTCTTGTTTTAATTTTACTCATGACCCTTTCGGCAGTACATGATGTAGTAGGAATAGTTAATAAATATTTATATAAAATTGTTAAATTTGGGAAAGCAGAAAATTATAAGCAGACGATAAGGTAAAATAAAAATAGTTTCTCCAGTCTGAATCATTCATCTCAGAATTATTATCATCATCAGAAGAAGCTAAATAATGTATTAGTAAAAATATTTTAATTAAATAAATTTACAATTCTCAGAATCTGACAAATCTTCTTTAACCTCTAGGTCACGAGTAATAATTACGTCCACCGTTTTAGCCATTTTATAAATATTTCTAAACATCAACATTTCCTCAAAAACTTGACTTGTATTTAATTGATAAAATTCACAGATATCCTTGATATCATCTTTAACAATTGCCTTTTCCGCCATTCCCTTTGGGGTAAAAAATGATGTTTGACAAAAATTTTATCGATTCATCGTTAAATCTTTCACTATCAAGTGCAGCATAAAACACACTTATTTTAAAGTTAAAAAAAAATTATATTTAATGATTAAAGTATATATATACCTCTCCTTTTTGGATTGTAATGTTTGAAGTCTTGAACTTTCAAAATCAAAAGGTAAATTTCTCTTCTTCATAAAATCTTGGGCCTTTGAAAAGACATCCAAAAATTCAGTGTTACTATCAATTTTAGGATTATAAAATAATAAAAGATAATAATTTAAATTATACTTCTCATATTAATCAGGCAATCTTTTGCCAATTGAATTTGATTTATTGCAAACCCTATATCCTTCGAAATGGTTTGCAATTTTGTACAAGCCAAGCTTGTTATCAACAATATTTTATCCAAAACACATAGTGATAAAATAAAATAAAATTTTTCTATTCTATAGACTATAGCACTAGCCATAGTGGAAGTGGCAGGATCTTCAGAATCCTTTAAATTTGCCAAAGCTGCCCTCAAAGCATCATAAAGTAGGAAAAAATTTACAATCGCCTTATATGATGTTAGCCAGCTTCTATAAAGATAAAATAAACATTATATATCGAAACAATTAAGATCATATTACCGAGTGGTATTCTTGATGCGTAAAAATCTATGTGATTTTGTCAGTAAATCACTCTGACATGTTTTGAGCACTTCATATCTTTTAACACCATTAAAATATACGTAAATTTCGTCTAATATTCCCAAGACATTTCGCAGCTCTTTTACTGATTGGCATAATTGAACAACTATTAAATTTAATCGATGACAATAGCACCAAATAAAAGCTGCCTTTGGCGCCTCCGCTCTAATCAAAGCCTGCACTCCATTAATTCTTCCACTCATGTTTGAGGTGCCATCATAGCTTTGCCCCACTAGGAATTCGAGGGGTAGATTCATGGAGCCAAGCTTGGATATTATATTCTTTTTAATATCGAGGCCCGTTGTATTTCCCGTATCTCGCTATTTTCAACATATCTCACTATCAAAGCTATTGCTTCTGATATCGATACATCATATGTGCCATCAACTATAATTGAATAGCACCTGTTGAATTCAATCTCCTTTTGAATTTTTTTTATAACCATATTTTTCATGGTTTCAATAAGAATATTTATGTTATTATATGATAACAGATTTGAATATAATTTAGATTTTAATCCCTTAATTTTTTTCTCACTTCTTCTTTCTTCATTATCTTGTATATACATTTTAAGAACAGGCTAGAATCTGCAATAAGTTTAATAAGGCTCATCATATTGCCATCTTAATTTTTAATCAAGTATTTATATTTTTTTTTGGTTAATATTTTTGGGCATATTTTGACAAAGATCTAGAAATTATAAATGATTATATATAAGATTAAATATTTAAATTTTTACTATTCCCTTTGATAAAATTTTAATTTTGCGCCAAATCTTGAAAGTGGAAAAATAATTTTATGATAAGAAATATCGGATAACAAACTAATTTGCTAAACATCGACCATAAAAATTTTTAAAAAAATAAATAAAAAATTTTAAAAAAAAGAAAAAAGTACCCCCATAGAAATTTATAGAAGCAGTTGCTTCGGACCCCCCCCCCGTTGTAGGGGTCACTGATTTTATATAACACTTTTATGTTTTAAATCATTAAATATATCCTAATAAAAAAATATATAACTTTTATATATGGAAAATTAAGCAGAGTTTATAATGGCCTCGACCAAGGGCTTGTTCGTCCCCGGGTAGGGTTCACTCGGTTACCAAAAAAAATTCCAGGAAAAATGATATTTTTAAAAAATTATTAGAGATGTATTTTTGAAATTTAAACATATCATAAAACTAATAGAGCTGAACAAATTGAGATATTTTTTATTAAAAATGATAAAGTACTTATAATTTTCTTAAGGTTTGCCTTGGGTTCGCCATAACCCCGTTCTCCCCTACAAGTTTTCAATAAATTAAAAAGAAAAAACTTGATAATATTTAAAATGATTAGATGAAGAGATATTATTACTTAGAATCATTTTTATATATTTTGAGTCAAAAAAAAGAAAAGCCTTAGCTTTAATTTCAATAAAAAAATGTTTTTAGAGCCAATCCCCATTTCAACTTAATTTTCAGATTCAACTAAGTCAGTCGAAAAGTCGATAAATATAAAATTGTAACTTTCATGAAACTCCATTCGCGATATGATAATGCATTCGCTATAATGCATTCGCTATAATGTATTCGCTATAATGCATTCGCTATAATGCATTCGCGATAATTCATTCGCTATAATGCATTCGCTATAATGTATTCGCGATAATTCATTCGCTATAATACATTCGCTATAATGCATTCGCGGTGATATATTCGCGATAATGCATTCGCGATAATTCATTTGCTGTAATGTATTCGCTATAATACATTCGCGATAACATTTTCGCGGTATTACATTCGCGCTAATACATTCGCTATAATATTTTCGCTGTATTATATTCGCTATAATGCATTCGCGGTAATGCATTCGCTATATTATATTCGCGATAATGCATTCGCTGTAATGCATTCGCTATAATATCTTTTCGCGATAATCGACATTCGCGATAATGCATTCGCGATAATACATTTCGCGCTAAAATTTTCGCGGTATTGACATGTAACCGAATAGATGGAATATAACCTATTTGAAATACGATGCTTTCCAATTTACAATTCATGAAGTTCTTTATAATTTTTTTCAACCTGCATTATTACATTCCAAATTAAAAAAATATATTAATAGAATGATGTATCTGCAGGTTAGGGTTGGCATTTCTCCAATGGCATTCATAATAGACATTTAATTTAAATAGAATGTAGTTTATTTTTTTTTGAAATAAGGGTACTTTTAATTTGCTTATAAAAACCCTATATTTTATAAATAATTTGTGTATTTTTTGGGTATACGCGGGAATCGAAATATCTGGATTCGCAAGTTGTTTATGAGCAATTTTAATATACTTTATATACTATTTTATGTCCAAATTTTCGAATAACACAGCGTTTTTAAACATTTCTTTCTATTTAAACGCGAGGTTAAGGCCCGCCAATTTGTTTGCTATTGTAAATTCTCGAGCGAGTATTTTTTGAAAAGATTCTTAAATTTGGACATACCCTTTAGTTTCAGTTAGATTTAAAAATTTGACAGGACTCAAAATTTTTTGGCAGTTTGATTTTTTGAAAAGCATTCGATTGACTCAAAATGATGACATTTTGACATTATCATTTTTTAAATAAAACGGAAAATAGCATCTGATTTTTTTTTAAAAAGAAACTTAATTTTAAACTCTATATAAAAATAAATTATTGTTTTTTTTTAATTATATAAAATATATATTTTTTAGAAAATTTAAAGCTGAATGGGATTATTTTTTTATTAAGTTTATTTATCAATAATAGATAACAACTGTTTTTTTATAAAAATAATTTTGTTTTCTATTATAAATTTTTTTAAAGTATATATATATTTTTAAATAATGTTATTTTCAATGACGTTTTGTAATATTGTCAAAATTTGATAAAAAAATTGGTTTGTTTTTAAAAGAATATATTTTAATTCTGAAGATAAGATTTAAATAAAGGTAAGAAAAAAAAAATTATTATATATATATTTAATAACAAAGCTCGTTTTGAGCCTATTTTTAAAAACGGCTAACTCACTATTTAATCCAGAATAATATAACACAAGCCTGAAGATTTTGCTTGTAGAAGGAACCAAGATTAGGACATCTATTAGCGAAATCTCAAGGCTTAGGCTATATTTTTCAGGCTAAAATATTGAGTTAGCCCTTCTTAAAAATAGGCTCAAAATGAGCCGTTTAACAACACTACTTTATATCATAGAATAACTCAATTCCATTTCAAACCCGGTTCTCCCATTTTTTTAAACGTTTTCCTAGCATTATTGATATTTGAAGTCATAATATAAAAGGCAATTTGTTTTGCGTTTTTATTTTTAACGGCTTGATTTTCTAATCCTTTTCTTATAATTTAATTAATTTAACTGATATTATCCTCTAAAATGCTTAAGAACTTTAAATTTAATGTTATATCCTAGCCTAGAAATGGCAGCCATGATACTCATATATTTAATGATAAAGCAACATACATAAGAAATGACAAATTAAGTATAATATGAAATATAAGTTTGTACTAATTTTCCTTACCAATCATTTTAAATTATAATAAAATTTCCAAAAAATTATTGCAGTTTAAATCGGTTCGGTTCCCTTCCTTCAAAAATTCTCTTATAGCGGTTCGGCAAGTTATAACTGTTATTTCGGTTTCTCAGTTCGGTTTGACATAAAAACTGCTTTATAGTTTTATGGGATTATATTTTGGAGAAGGGGGTTTTGTGAAACTTTTTTTTTCTAGATGTGTTAAATTTAGACCCGCCCAAATTTTTCCTGGTTCTTATAGCGACACGATTTCAGATTTATCCATTCTCGCTTAACCTAGAATCGTCATCAAAACTCTTTAAAGATCACATTATTAAATCATTCTCTTTTTTTTCAAGGAACACAACTTCATTAAGATTTTTATACATAATCAAGTGATATTCACATTCACGCATTGGTTAATTTCAAAGCACATCACGGTGTATTTTTATAAAATTCGTCATATATTAAATTTGGCTTAATTATTGATTTAGCGATAGTTGGCATGGGGTTTTGGTTATTTTATTATTTTTTAATATAATCTTTTTTTAATTTACAAAGGCAGCATATGGATAAATTTATTTTTTATATAGCTTTTTTTTTTTATTAAAAAAATAAAATAAATTATTTGGAATCCTTTTTAAAAAAATATCTTTCGAAAGAGATACGGATTAGATTGTGTTGATTTGATTTAAATTATTATGACCAATAAATCAACGCTTCAATTTTTTCCAGTGTTTAAAAAATAAAATGATTCATACTCCTTTTAGGCTTTTTGCCAATGTGCCGCCTTATTTGATTTTTTTAAAATTATGTTTATAATCCTAAATATTATTATTTTTTATTCAAACTAACTAATTTATTTAATTTTAAGTAGATAGATATTATATAATTTTGTATCCCAAAGGAGAGGTCTGCAATAGGTAGCCAAAAAGTCCGCCCACTCGTTTTTTAAAATTCTTGTTTAACACGCCCCCCCCCTCCGCAGCTCTTTATTCATTTATTTTCACGTATCTTTAATTAAACATATATATCATGCAATACTATGAAATTTGCCTGAAAAATATTAAAAATTCACCAGCCCACGCCCGCCTATTCAATGTTGAAAATATTTTAGAAAGCCCAACCAAACCCGAGTATGGGTGGGCATGAGGGGCAGGCTAAAAACTCGCTCAATGCAGACCTCTTTCCCAAAGATCGTAATAAGTAGTGTGTTAACTGTTCTTATTTTTAAAAAAGGGCTAACTTATTTTCGCCAAAAAATTTAACGCAAGCCTGGAGATCTTGCTCATAGATGGCAGAAAGGTTTGGGCATCGGTTTGCGTAATAATATTTTGGCTAATATCTTAATTTTAAAATTGGCCAAATCGAGCCTTTTTAGCAACTCTAAATTTAAAGGGTCATTAAATAATAGATTCTAAATTTTTAAGCCCAAGGACGGACTCGTAGGTTTCTAAGCTTCAGGAGAGTATATAATATTTAGAGTAAACATTAATTATTAAAATATTTTAAACATAAAAATTCGATTTATATAAATGTATTGTAATTTAGAATATTAAAATATGTTGGCACATTAAAAATAATTTGAACACATTTATTTTATATGAATTATGAGAATATGATAATTATAAATTATCCTTGTTACACAATTCATGAGATAATATGAAAATAATTTTTATTTAAAAAAATTTTCAGCGCATCAAGTTTAATTTTCGTGTATTATTAAATTATATTATATTTTGATTCTTATTTTTCTAAATGTAGCATATTATATCAGAAAAATCCTTTCAATACGATATTTAAAAAAAACAGAATATATCATCCTATTCATTGGCTGCTATATAATCACCAATTTGTGAGAATACTATTTTCAAATGTCAGCCAAATTGACAAAGGAGGATAACAATAAAAAGTCTCCTAATCGAAATGCAACTAAGAACGACGATGATGTTAAAGAGAGTGATATCGGTGTTGCAGCTCAAAGTAATCCACATGCAAATGATAACAATCATTTCCCTTTTAATCAGCTTGAAAAACTCTTAACTTGCCCCATATGCTTAGATCGGTATAGGCAACCTAAACTGTTACCCTGTCAACATACCTATTGTCTGGAATGTCTTGAAAATATGGCCGATTATTATAAGAGAATCGTTAAATGTGCTGAATGCCGGACAGAAAACATATTACCTTATAAAGGTGTCGAAACCTTTCCCAACAATTTGACCATCTTAAGTTTTTTGGAATTACCTTCGGTTATAGCTGTCGAAGAGGCGAAGAGCGGCAACAGTAATCTTATGTTACTTCAGGAAACCAATTCTAGGAGAGGTTCACGACGATCAGTAACGGACGAAGCTAGCAACGATAGGTTAGGTCAATACACTAGTCATCTCCCATCCGCCCAAAGATCTAGTTATCAAACGACCACGCAATCTCCTACACAACAATATAGGTTCGTGAAATTGGAAACGTGCCCTATTTGTAACGAAAACACTGAGCTATTTAAGTGCCTGCATTGCGATCGGAAGGTGTGCAATGCTTGCAAGGAGTCGCACTTGGAGCAAATGCAACGCGAAGTGATTCGCCTCTTGACCAACACCCAAAGAAATGTACCAAAACTCGAGGAAACTATAAACGTCATCGAACAAAAGCTTGCTAACATGAAAAACAACTTCAACTTTGTCAAAAACGAGATCAAAATGGAGATAGATCGATGCGTGCGAGAGCTTAACAATCGGGAAAGAGTTCTGTTAGAAGAAGTGGACAATCTAATGGAGTCTGAAATCCGAAAAATGACGGAAAGGCAGGGTACTCTCAGTACGGAAAAGGAGGAAATTGAATCATATTGCCAACGGACAGCAACCCGTTTAAATCAACCAACTCTACCTTCAAGTAGCTCTCCCATAGATAACGTTACAGGTGCTGGAGCTACATCCAATAATCGAGACAGTCACGAAACGACTTCTAACGAAGGTATATGGCAAATCCACTATGATACAAACATAAATATATGATTGGTTAAGTTTCAATATATTTATCGATGTAAGAATTAATTAGAATCATAGAATTAAACCTTGAATTAAGTTTTACTTTAATCATGTTGACATAATAGTTTAAAAAAATTGAGCGCTTTTAAAACTGTTTTTCAAATTGTTCCAGTAAAGATTTTTTTAAAAATAATTGTAACTTCTAAAAAACAGGAGAGGAGGACGAAGATGAAGATGATGACGAGCAAGGAGTCCAAATACAAAGCCTCAAAACTAGGATTAAAAATGCCGCCGCTGCTAAGGTTCTATTGGCAGCTCAAGAGATGGTACAAGATAATAACAAAGAAACCACAACTAATAATATTAATACTACACCCCCGCCCCAAGTTTTGCCTGAAATAGTGCCGTTGACCCCTGAGGAGTTAGTTACACTGAAGCAACAAATATCGACATATCTAGATCATATACGGGACATCAACGTGGAAGCGGTAGAAAGTTACAAAAGGATGAAGTTCATAGCCGACAACAACATGCTGAGATCCAACATCCTTACCTTCGGTGAACTACACGTTAGGAGTGTAGTTCATTCCGGAAATTTGACTTCCAAAACGACGTCTTCACCCAACAATGAGACAACTTCCAGTAGGTTTTCTAGATCCTACTCATTCGAAAATGACGACACTCTAACACCCGGAGATAATGACAATGTAAATTCGACATTAGATACCACAGGTAATTACAAATCTGGATCCAATCGGTATACATCACCGGCTCAAAGAAATACCGGAAGTACGGCCACGCCGACTCGAACAAGCAGATTTTTAAATCGTCCACGTTCCACTTACGAAACAACCGCAACTCCGTCTTCCTATGATTATTCCTCTAGTTCTCGCCGCGCACCTATTGGAAGTAGTAGTACACCTAGTCAAGACGATATATTCGCTGGATACCTGGGCAACGAAGTCCCCTCCTCAGTGACCAGCTCCACCTCCCCACACACTAACAAAAATTGGAGAACAGGTTAAAAAAATTTTAATTATTATTACTATTATATTTATTTTAATTTTAAATAAATTATAAAATTAGAATGGTTAAACAATTATTTGCATTTTTTTTTGTTATATATGGTATTTATCTTGGATTCCAAAATAAATAGATGCTAAAGTGCATCCTCGAACATTAACGGATCTCTCAGAGTCTAATATATCCCCCAAGTTTCATAGATTAGACGTTAACCGCTTTAATTACGCGGATATTTATAAGATGGCTAGTCCTAAAAAGGACCCAATCAAATCCGTCGTCATAAGCAACAATAAATCTGGCTTGCCCTACAGTTTATACAGGAGTAAAACGTCTTTCAATTTAAAAAATTCGAGCACCATTAAAGCCATAGAAAAGTCTTTAAGTGAATTTAATGCTAATAAAATTGAATCAGCCGAAACTCTCGACACAAATAACGAAAAAGGAGGCTCCACCCTAGAAACTATCGAGGATGAGAATAGAAGAGATAGGGAATTACACAAATCGTATTATCGTAGGAAATATGGGCGCTGTCTAACTACAAATAATGTGATTAGCAATGCCACTCTTAATAATTACGACCCAGACATTAATTTCAATGATTACAATATATCATCAATTAAAAACGGCAAAAAATTGCCGATAATAAAAAATAGCCATTTTGCGACACCCGATTCGCCATTATCCTACGAAAATTATCCTCATGATACAAGTATAAATGCCGATCACGTTAACGGTTACGCCAATAATACGAATATTTATCGTGATAATAAAGACGAGATTGTATTGGACGCGTTAAACCACAACGATCGTTTGCAAGAAACCAATGGAGGTTCCAATGAAATCAACGTTCACAAGGAAGCTCACAAAAGTATGGCAAAAAGAAAGCTAAAGAAAAACTTTTATCAAAGGAGTAAAACAGATAATAATAATAATATAAATCACGAGGAAAATAGGATTGAACCGCCTGGTGATCATTGGTGGAAGTCTTGGCTTATTGATGATGGCGAGGTAAAAACTCGAGCCGAAAAAAAATTAGAGCAATTGAAACATACCGATTCCCATATCGGCAAAGACGCTCAAACGAGTTATTACATAGATCATTTAAGCTTTCCTGATTGCCCTTCAAGGTCCTACAAGAAGGGTACTACGACCACTTTGAGAAATTTGAATTTAGATTCGAATTTAGATTCGAAATTGAAAACATATGGAAACCCTAGTTCTTCTTCCAGTGTCGAATATTTACAAAACCCGCCAATTAAATTGAGAATGGAGCAAAAAAGGAGACAGCAGCATATCAGCGATACAAATCGGCCCAACCTTGTTAATAATAATCCAATTTCAACGAAATCTTTCATCGCTACTAATATTAATAATCCAGAATATAAATTTGATAACTTAACTTTAAACGGGATGGGCTTAAATAGCACTGCGGATATATTTATACCAGAAACGGATGTGCCGATATCTGAAAACTTTAAAATATCCGAGTCATTGAAAAATAAATTTAACACTCTTCAGCGATTCAAACGCAGAAATGAGTTTTTGATGAATTTAGCCTCCGTGGCTTTGTTTTCGCCCGATGGCACTTGCAATGACAGCAATTACAAATACGTCCCGATTAGGGAACGGATTCATAATATAAGGGCAAATTTAAATGATTCTAACATCAAAGATGAAACGTTTTCAAGTGTTGTGAATACGGGCAATGCCTCTTGTCACAAGGATGAAGATTTAAAATCGTATGGGGGTAAGGAGAAGTCCTTGAAATCTAAATATGTCAATCATCTAGAGGATATTCCGAACGACATAATATTCCAGGATCACATTGAAGGACATAACATGTTGGAAAATGCCGACGATAAACCCGGTGGCATTCCTAGTACTAGTCAAAATAAAAAGTTAAATAAAATCGCCGATAATAATTCTAAGGTAAACGATTCGGTTAACGATAATCAAAGTGACGAGAATGTGCATGAACGTCAAATATTAGATAATATTTTCGAAACTGAATTGCGAGCTTACATTCAAAGAATTAACGACATGCAAAAAGATATCGAACAATTTGCTGATGAGATCCAATCTCATTCATCTTTGAAAAATTACGAAACCCCAGATTTGAGCTTAAGTCCTGCAAATTTAAGCGACAGAGATTTGTTTGATCTCGGTGAAAATGATAATGACACGAGGCATGATACAGATAACGGAAATACCGAACAGATTGGCGAGTTGGCGTTGTTTTATGATCACCCTCTTGACGTTTACGAGTCCTCGGAAGAAAGAAGAGAATTAGATGAAGATGAGTTAGATCTATTTCTTAACTTTGAGTCCGGCAGAGCCATCGATACAAATATTAGCGAATATAAAGCTAACTCTCTTACCGGTCCACCTCATTCGATACTAATCAAACATGAATCCAGATCCTCTCCTTATCAACGAAGAACTTCCGATACTGGAATTGGGGAGTCTAATCATCGTATTCCCAAAGAAAATGGCGTAAAATTATCGAAAAAAGTATCGAATGGTAGCGAAAAAAAAGTCAACAAGGTCAAAAGAAATTCTATCGGCAACATTAAAAAGCAAAATGATTCCCTTAATATAGCAGAAAACGGAGTGTACGCTAGTCTCAACGTAAAAGTAAATCCTTCGAATAAAGGCGGCTTCGTGAGTTTGAAGATCCCTATGGGATTGGCGTTGTCAACCAACGGCACACACTTATTTGTAGCAGATAAGGGTAACCACAAGATACGCATGATGAAGTTACAGCTAGGTAACGGTAAAGCCATTACCTCTTTTGTTAAGTCCTACGGTATTTTCGGGTATACGCCCGAGAAATTGAACAGACCCTGTGACGTGGCATTAGGGTATCAAGACCAAATAGCGATAGCGGATAGTGGTAATCACAAAGTTGTTTGCTTAAACTCTGAACTAAAGTTTCAAAGGATCCTGGGGACCGGAGAAAAAGGTCATTTTAACGGACAATTTGAGCATCCTACTGGTGTGACTTTCGATTCAATGGGATTTATATATGTATGCGATAAATTAAATCGAAGGGTACAAGTATTTAGTGGGGACGGTATTTTTGTTGGTAAATGGGGTCACAACCATCTGACAGCCCCTAAAAGGGTTCATTATTCCTCCCACAGATCCATAATATACGTAACGGACGCGGGGGATCATTCATTAAAACTTTTTGATCGAAACGGCATAAAAATTGGCTGCGTCAACAAGATACCCAAGGTTTTAACTACCCCTTCTACGAATGGGGCCAACTCTGCCTATCCCTTAATAACTGAAAATTTCAGCTATCCCAGTAGCGTATCTTGTTACTCGGCTAATAGTGAAAATATTATCCTTCTTGACTCGGGAAACGATAGGGTAATCCAGTTGACCGCCGATGGTAGAGTGATACAAGTTTTTCCTCTGATCTCTTCTCCCGTTCTCACGAGCTCATCGGACCAATTGTCATCAACTTTAACAAATAGATTCGATTCTTGCATTTCCTTACCTTCTTCCATGTTTAATAATGGGATTCACGAATACGAACAGTATCCCGTTCAAACTTTCGCCGTTTCCGACACGATTAATAATCAAATTGTTTTTGTTTGAAAACGAATTATATATATTATATAATAGATATACATTTATTTATAGTTTTTTTTAGGCTTAAATTTATAGAATATTTTTTAAAATATAATGATGATTAATTTCGTGAGAACATAAGATATAAATTTAGAAAAACTCTCTTTTTAATTTTAGCCGGATTGTTTTTAAAACTAACAAAAATTGCAAATGCAAATAAAATAAATGGTGCAATATTTCTATCCTTTATTTTCCTTATCCTTTCTTTATACAATTTGCATTTAGATCAAAAAAATGCTCTTCTCTTAACATGTCTATATATTTAAATTAAATATTTGCTCCCAATATAGTTCAAATTCGTTTAGTTTTTTTAGCCTTATATTTTGGTTATTTTAAGTTTTATATAATAAATGTAATTTACTTAAGTGTTCATTTTTTAGTTTTTATATAACATTTTTTATTATAAACACGAATTTATATAAATTTTGTATTTTTACTCCCTTTTTTCAAACCTTCAAACTGTAATTATTATTATTAGTTAAAATTAGTTACTTTTTAGAATAACCGCGTTATTATATATATATAATTTTTTTTTATTGGATAATAATTAACGATATTTTGTGAATATAAATATATTATTTTTGAAATAAATTAGTTTTATTAAAACTTGATTTAAATATCTTTAACTGATTGAAAAAAAATAAAAATAATTTCCTCTCAATATATTGGTTCTTTTCCTGCTAGAATTCAGTAAACCATATATGAAATTTTTTTGGATCAGTTGAAAGAGTAAATCCTATTATTGAATTGGTATAATTATTTAGTGTGTAATAATTAATTTATCTATTTCATTTATTTTTTTACTGATTTAATAGAATTATCATCCTCCCTCACCTCACCTCTACCCTAAGAATTTAGACTTTATATATATACATATATAAAATCTTCTTCAAAAAACAAATTAATAATACTTTTTTAAAAAGTATGCAGTAAAGTAAAGTAGTAAAGCTTTAAGTTTTTAAGAATATATTTTTTTCTTAACATTAAAAAATAAAAAAAATAAATAAATTTAAAATGTAAAATGTAAAATTTTTCTAATCTTTTTTTATTTTATTTTTATTCTTTATAATGAAAAAAAAAACAGATTTACTCACAAAATATGCTGAATATATAGAGGAGAAATATGCAGACATTTTGACAGGTGCCAGGTCTAGGAGTTTGAGGAGTGAGGCTAGGGAGGATAATAATGCTTCTTCTCATCATACGGACACTCGTGCCAGTAATGATAATAATGATGCTAAAACAACGAAAACGAATTGAAAAAAAGCATCATATAAAAGCTAAATATATTTTGTAACCAAAATTTTTTACATAACAAAAAAAAAGAAGAGTGACTTTTTTTGTATAATTGGCACTTGATGTAACATTAAACCATTTTAAAATTAAACTTTTATTATATAACTATTTTTTTTATATTTGTTTAAATGATCGATATTAAGCGTTGTTTAAAGTGGCTCTATTATTTAAAAATATGGATAACCTAATATTTTAGCCAAAAAATATAAATATAATGCAAACCTCCAGACCTAAGCTTACATAATATTTTTTTTGGCTTAAATATTTGTTCAGCCATTTTTAAAAAAATATTCTAGCCTTTTAGACAGTACTAGGTCGATAAATTTTTTTTTAAAAATAGTTTAATATCCTTTAAAATTTAATCAGGGTGGCGATTGAAGAGAGGGGTTCGCAATAGTGTTTGCGCTGAAAGTTTTATACACTGTATATTTTTTTGTTTAAATATAAATAATTCACCCTTTCTCCCCGTGGTACTAGTTTAATTTGCGAAAATAATTATTTTATACATTAAAATAGAATTTGAGAATGAAATTACAGGTTATTATAATAGAATAAGGTGATGTTTATCTCATTTAAGGTTGATGTCGGTCTTTAATTATACCTCAACACAACACTCAATATCATTTTTTTTAAATGAGATTTGTTATTTATAATATATATATATATATTATATACCGAAATTTGACATCGGGGTTGTTAGGTATGGGACCTAATACTTCCATTTCAACAATTTTAGAGATGATATCAATTATATATTTATATATGCCCAAATTTCCTCCGCCACCTCCCCCCCCCCTAGTTATTGTATTTGTAAAAAAAATATTAAGTCATTTGTAAATATTAAAATTTTGAATTCGTTTTTAAAAAAAATCTCAATCTCAAAACCAAATATAATTCCATTAAAAAAAATATATATCAATTTATATATTTAATATTTATAATGTATGTTTTATTTTTAACAACTTCATCTATTTAAATTGTCATCTCACTCATTTATCATACCATGCCTTAATCTGGATCTGTGATTTTTTTAAAACATTATAAATATTATATATATTATATTATAAATAAAATGAATATAATAATCAAAAAAAATAATGAGTGGGTTTTCTTATTTTACCAAAGATAAAAACCAGTTTAGAAAAACAAAATTGTTTTTTTTTTGATCAAATTTTACCTAAGAATTCTAAATAAAATCTTTTATATAGGTGAATATTTTTGTAATTTTCATGCATAAAGAAATGTTCCAATCCAAGAAATTAAAAAATAAAGAAAGAAACATAAGGTCATTTTTAAAGTAATTCATTTAATGAGGTAAGCAATTAAAAAGATTCTATTACATTTATCAAAGTATAAAATTTAATTTGTTCTACTTTTGTCGATTTTTCGATTAAATATAAATGATCTGTTAAGAATGTTTATCAATTAAGAAGTGTCATGTTATAGTTTTGCATTTTATATCAATTATATTTGATACAAAATTTTTTATAATCAATTTAGAATATAGATATTATATTTATTTTATAAGGAAAGATTTGGTTAGTGTGGTCTTAATAAATCGTAATCTTTAGAAGAAATATAATGAGACCAAAACATAGTTTTTATACCAAGGAGATTAAAGAAATTACCAAGAGACCTTCAATCAAATTTTCATTTTCTAGGGTCACATTAAAATAATTTAGGTTGCACATTTTGTAAATTGGCCCATCGGCCACAATCCTCTTAAACTATGAGCGGGCGTGGGCGAGTTAGGGCCGGCTAAATTACGAATGGGTGGGTGAGCGGATTAATTTTATATTTAAATGAAACAATTTGCAAAAAATACAGCCAACAAATTATTGGAAAAAATTATGGAAAATTAAAATAGGACTGGACTTTTAAATTGTTCAAATAAGAATTCACTGGGCTTGACAAGTACAAAGTTCAGGAAATTTTGCTTGATAATTTATAATATGGACATTTGGCATTATATTTTTTATTATAATCCAATTCAATTGTAATATTATAAAATAATCGTGAAATTGAGTTATTTACATTTTATTCAATTCTGATATTTTTTAATTTTTTAAATAAAATAAGGAAATCAAGGTTCAATCTTCGAGAGAAGAAAAAATATATTATTCATATACATGTGTTAGTTGTTATTTTAAACCAAATTATAAATTTTTTTTTACTTATTTTATTGATTTTAAAGGTTAAAAAACAAAAAAAACACATTAAATTTACATTGGGAATTTTTTTTTGTTTTAAAATTCTAGAAGCGCTAATTTTGTTTTTTTCGCGAGTGAAAAAATTTCCATAAAATTAAAGCATATGTTAGTTAAAATCAATAATCATAATTTTTGTTGCGAAAAAAAAACTATCTGATAGATTTCTAGATATAAATTGTTGTTATTGACATCAGATAAGCCTAAGCCTCAACTCGAAGCGCATCCTCTAGCCAGCTAAAAACCCCGTTAAAGATGAATAGAAATTGATTATAAAATACTATATACCATTTTTCTTAAGAATCTTAGACGTTTAATCCTCCAAAAGTAACGGCATCACATTTTACTTCCTCATTACGTTTTTAAAAAAAGTAACGCGTTATTTCGAAACGTTACTTTTAAGTATAAGAAAAGGATCGCATAATTATTATTTTTTTATAATTTATTTGTTAATCGATGATATTAATTTATATTTATCACACAATTTGAAAAGAAGAAATGCAAATGATAAACATATGTATATATATATATAGGGTTTGGAAGATAAACTTTTCTGTACGAAAATATATGAGGTTCGTCAGTATATAATTTCCTGCACTTCTTGAGCATTCTTAAAATAATATTAAAGCATATGATTTAATTTTTTTAAAAAAGAGATATTCACCGACGCGACCACGTAAGTAAAATCGTATAACCTTTTAAGGCAGTCGTGTCCTTAATGGGAGGTATCAGTTACTCCATATTTTTAATTTTGGGCTATTTTTTATAAAAGTATTCACGCATGATTGAATAAAGCCCATTGATTGCTAAACTATTGTTTTGCACAAAATAATACAGCTGAGATTATATAGCTTTCCTCAATTCGGAAGAAATTATATTATTTAAAAGATCTAGGTTATTTTTTTCGAGTCATGGTTCTAGAAAGGAAGGGAGGGGATGTTTTTCGACTTTATAGTTCAGGGTAATAGGAAAATCACTGCCTTGTAGATAGCTTTGTTTTGGATAATACCGACGATAGTACTCCCATTGTAAAGATATGGTTACATTTATATATATATTTTTTTTAGAACCAAAAGATATTTGTCATATTCAGGCCAAGGTAATAATAATGCACAACAGTCAATATCACTAACGCTCTTCTAATATAATTAATGAAATTCGATTGGACTCTATAAAAATATAACAGCTGGATGAAGAATTTAATTCGATATTACATACCATTTATTTATTTTTTATAATTTAAAACTCGGTATTTTTTTAATATTTTTTTAAATTTAAAAAAATTAAAACTTATATAAAAAAATTTATAATAAAATATAACACGTGACTTAAGAATTAACACGTTATTTATGCCGTTATTGTCTTGGAAATAATACATCCATAATTTATCTAGATGAGGAAGTAATCCTGGTTAAGTATCTTAACACTACTGACAAAGATGAGCGAACGAAAGAGAGTCGAGATATGTGTTAATTCGGGGGTTAGAGATATCATAGGCGTAGCCAGAAGGGGAGGACAGAATTAAGACGATACCCCCCCCCCTCCCCCACTTCTTACCATAAATAAGTTAATAATCTTATTTTAATTAATGACCAATTGGAAAATAACTTAAAACCTCTGCAATAAAGGTTTCCAAAGTCCTTAAATAAAATCTATCCAAAAGACTCCACTCCCTCCTCTTCTATTCGTGAAACTTTCATAGAGGTGGATTTAGTAGTGATTTGTGGTTCTTGGCTCATTTAAATATGGTTAGATATTATTATATCATAAAATTTGATAAGAAAACAAAATTTTTTTAAAAAGTTCCATCTTTAGTAAAATGTGTCGGACCCGATCGATATCAATATTTACTATTTATAACTATTCTATTATTTTAACTTAGGCCGCATTTTATTCATATGTTGAGTTATTTAACTCAACGTTATTACAGCAAGATAGAGTTAAAATAGAATAATGTTAAAGAAAAATCATATTTCTTTTTAACGAATTCGCTATTATTTATATAATCGCAAATTTTTTTATCAACGCATCCCAATATATTCAAACTTTATCGTAACTTATCATCATAACTCTATATTTAAATAACGCTGCATTAAATAACGTAACGCTTGAATACAACACGTTTTCCGAAAATTAGAACCAACTTACCAAGGATTCAACATTTTATTAAAATAAAAGTAAAATCATTTTTTTTTAAATATAAGCAAACTCTAAACCATATCTGTCTAACTCCAAATTGCAAGTTTCATTTTTATCGAAATATTTTTTTAACTTTGGGATCTAATTCGAAATTCCTGCACCTCGAAGCCTAGGTACGCTATACGGATATATCATAGGCTCAATTAAGTCTATATCAGGGCGTTCTGGTATTTACGTCATAGGCGTAGCCAAGATTGGGGGGTCATCATTTTAAGCTAATAAAAATTATATCCCCCACCCTCCTAAATATATTTAATATATTCACTATAGTCAAGAAGTCGGAAAAATAAATGTAAGTTAACAATTTTTTAAAATAACGACTATAATTCTAAATTTTTGGAAAAATAGTGAAAATAATATAGCCAATGGTCTCCTATAAGTAACCTAAAGACCTCCAATAAAATTTATAGGAAACCCCACCAGATAGGGCCATCTACCCTAGTAAACCCCATTGATACTCCAAATATGTGAGCGCTTAATGTTCAAAAATAGTGAGCCAAAAATCGAGCGTTAAAAAAATATCACTTATATATAAAAAAGTAGAATAATTTCAAGCGTTTGCACATTAAAATTATATCATTTGCTCAGTATAGTTATATTAATTTCGAATAAATCCTATATTATATAGTAATAGGTATGAATTGTATAAATTACGATGAATTCTCATATTATATGGTAATAGGCATAAGTTATATTAATTTCCAAGAATTCCCACATTATAAAGTAATAGGTATAGGCACGTAGCCAGGAATTTCCATTTGGGCTCGCCTTATTTGGGAAGGTTATTTTTTGAAATAAAACAAATAGTTAGGCACTCAGAAATTTTTTGCTATTTGTTTCATTGAAAATTTACGATTTTGATTTTTAAATTTTAACATAAATGAATTTAAAAGATAAATTTTGGGGAAATTCTTTTTTTCATAGGCCATTAAAAACTAAAAAAAAATTCTGTCTATCTTTCATTGACTTGACTCTCTAAACAAATGGGAATAAAAATGTCAAAAAGGAAATTATTGAATAACTTACGTTATACTTAACTATTATGGGTGAAGATAAGTAATTATAATGATAGGTACATGCCTGACCCCCAGTACCTGAGGGTGGTTCAGTTACAATCCACTAGGAAATTTTGTACTTTAAAAAAATATTCATCATATACGTCCTCTTTAAATTATTTATATCTTATTTAAATATCTGATATGTATTGATCGATAATTTAGTTTAGGTATGATCCCGTATTAGGGGACATTTTTAATATCTTAAACTTCACTAGGAAAATAGTTTTCACGTAAAACTGTCACTGTTGGTCCTCTTTCATTTTTTTAAAAAAAATATTATAATTAATAGTTGACATGTATTGATCTAATTAACGTTTAGGAAACGTACCATATTAAGCAGGAAGTATTTAGTAATATCTGCAATTTATTTTAATTGTTTGATAAAAATTTCTCTCTATCATTGATTGAGTTACCATTATGTCAAACCGTTCGTTTTGAGTCGATTTTTTAAAACGGCTAATTCAATATCTCATCCATAAAAATATTACGCAAGTCTGAAGATTTTATTCATAATTAGTCTCGGAGAAATAAATAAAAATTGATACTGTTTATCTTCCTTTTATTAAGTGAATGGATATTTTTTATAACAAATATTATTATAAGTATTTTCTTGTTTATACCAATTACGCTAAATAAAATTATATAATAACCATTTTGCTAAGAATTATTTTTTTTGTTCATTTAAATTTAATTGTCACAGGTGAAATTTAAAATTCGATAACTAATATTTAAAAAAAAATTTTTTTTTTTTGGGGATGGGAGAATTTTTGGAGCTCTTTTGTGGAGGGGGGGGGGGATTTTTATCGAGGAGCCAAGCCAAGTTTGGAGACCGATCGGCAATGCTACACTCCTACTGTTATTTTAGTTTTGATAATCTTTCTTTCCGGTCAGACAACTTTATTCCGAACATTCTCATTTCATAATTATATATCTTCGTAATAATATTTGGCAGAAGCACGCAGAGGTACCATTTTCACGGCCCAGATTTGAAATTAAAATAAAATTTCCGCGGGTTTGGTTTTTTTTAAAAAAAATTGCAATATACCTAATCGGCACTTTTACGGATTTTTATTCGCCTTTTACCTATTATACTAATTTAAATTCTAGCGTGGCTGTCGTGATTGCGGAGAATGTCGTGAGGTCAGATATGAGGTATTGACGGGTTCAGTCTCATATAGTGATTATTTATATATTCGAAGATACTATTTTTTTTAAAATATTATTATTGGTATTATTGCTATTGCTAACTAATCAATCTAATTATTATATATGGAATTTGTGTATTTATCACCTCGTGGTATTATATATTATATAGTGTTCAACACAGGCACGTAGCCAATGGGGAGGAAAGCGGACCCCCCCCCCTCCCATGGGAAATTTGCCTGTTCTCTTAAATATCATTTTAAGCTAATGACGATTTCCCACACCCCTTCCTCCTCTGAAAATGTATACAATAGAAAGAATTTGAAAGAAAAATTTAGTAAAAATTGATATCTTTTTAAAATAACGACTATAATTCAAAATTTTTAGAAAAAAAAAATCATTTTAACAACAAAATAAACGAAAACCCATAATTATTTTTATAAAAAAATCTAATATAGCCAAAGGCCTACAGTAAGTGAACTTAAAAATCTCCAACAAAATTTAAGAGGAGAATTTTCACCTAATAGTGAACCCCTCCCCCCTTTATATCAAAATCCTGGATACACTAGGGGTTCAAGGACTGAAATATATATTCCATAATATTATAGAATTTTTTTTATATTATTACAATCACATATAAATATATACACACAAGAATCAGGGTAACGATGTGTAGTCTTGGTCATCACATAACAATTAGTTAAACAAAGACCAAATTTTTTTTTTTTTGAATGCTATACAAAGACCAATTTTTATGTATTAAGGGAATCACGTCATTGCTTCCGATATTCCATATCAGAGATCTGGAATGCTTTCTGGTAACTTCTGAAAATATTTTTGGCCCTGGGTTGGGTAGAAAATTTTTTTTTGGTATCTAAAACATTTGATGAATTTTGATATTTTCATAGAAGTGATAATCCATAGCGTGTATTATTTTTCAGGGACCTGCAGTGGTACCATTTGCACAGTCTGGGCCGGATTTTTTTTTTTCGAAATATTTTTTCGGCCTGGCCAGGGTTTTTCCGGCTCTGCTTTTTTTTTAAAGCTAATAATGGCGATTTCAAATATTTGGTTTTAAAATATAAGGCCCGGGCCAGGCTTGCAGATTTCTGATATTTTTAATCAAGATTATATATATATTTTTGGTATTAAAAATTTTTTTTTAACCCAGCACTGTGCCAGGCATTGACTAAATTCCCACCTAGTAAGGTTCTTAAAAATTTCTTTTCTATATATATCATAACCCCGTAGCAAACACCTAGTTAACTTCAGAAGACAAAAAACCGATCCCTGGTGGGATTTCGTCCAATCATCGCTTTCCTCTTTATTTTAAATATTTTTTCTTAACGTATTTTTAAAAACAAACTACCCCCCCCCCCATTATTTTTTTAGAAAAATTTTATAACTTTTCAAAAATTTACTCTTATTTAATATCCTATATTCACTTCATTTCAAATTCATTTCTTCGTATTTCCATATTTTACTTTAGAAAGTATTTTTTATATAAACTGCTAAATTATTTTTCCTTTGAAACAAAAATTTTTTTTTAAACTCATAATTTCAAATTAAACAACATTTGAAAACATTATATCGTATTATTTAAAATAGAATTATAATATAATTGCGTCCTATAAGTCAAAATTTTATTTAAAAATAAAATGAATTAATTTATAATTAAAATTTACGAAATCAAATTTGAACAGATAAATGTATATAATTTTAAAATCATATTTTTTTTTCTTTATTACAAATTTCCTCTTGTTTGTTGGTCAGCTTCGATTGCTTCAAAAAGTGATTTAAAATTTCCTGCACCAAAGCCCTGATGATTGTGTCTTTGAATGACCTCCAAGAATAACGTTGGCCGATCTTGAACACACTTGGTGAATATTTGTAAAAGATAACCGTTTTCGTCGTAATCTACCAATATTTTTAATTTTTGAAGCATATTCATATCCTCTTTTACTTTAGTTTTAGATGTTTTCAATTTTTCTTTAAGGGTTTCATAGTAAGTGTCAGGAATTTTTAGGAATTCTAAACCTCTCTTCTTTAACGATTCGATGGAGTCTATTATGTTATTGGAATTGAGAGCTATGTGTTGAACCCCCGCCGATCCATAATAATCAATGTATTCCTGTATTTGACTTTTTCTTAGACCAGGTGCTGGCTCATTGAGAGGCATTTTCAGTGTTTCTTCATAATTGGTGACAACTATTGATCGCAACGCAGAATATTTTGTGTGCACTTCTTTATCATCTACCGACCAAAATCGGTGAAACTGTAAAACCTTTTCGTACCAATCGGAAACTGGAACCATCATTTGATCTGGTTGATTCCCTACAACGTGATCTATAAATTGTAAATTAGCTGCTGGCAACTCGTTGAAAAATTCTGGCTGAAATAAAGCTCCTTTATAATTTGGCAAAAAAAGGCCATTGAAATTTTTTCTCTCAACCAATGTGTGTGTAGTGTCACCATACGTTTGCACAGTGGCCATCATTACATGTCCGTCATCATCTTTTTCTGTCCATGGTTCTTTAACAATTTTACCTCCCTTTTCCCTGATTTTCTCTATTAATGGTACCAAATCTATTACCGAAAAGGCTATATCTTTTACCCCATCTCCGTGCTTGATTAAATGTTTGGCCATTTCTTCATTTTTCTCGTCTAACGCAGATTGTAAAACGAATATGATTTTGTTTTGCTTTATAACATGCGAAACGATATCTCTACAACCAGTTTCTAATCCTTTATAGCATAAGGGCTTAAATCCAAAATGTGTGCAGTACCATTGAGCGGCTTGTTTAGCGTTTCCCACCCAAAATGTCAAATGATCGAAATATTCTATCTTGCCATTTATCGGCTCTTCTCCCTTTTCAGTGTAATATGTCATTTAGAAAATTAAATATTGTTTTATTCGTTCAAATTTTGTTTTAAAATTTATGTGTGACGTTATTAATCGTATGATAAAAAAAATGATCATTTATTAACAATCTGTTTTAAAAAAAAATTTTTAATATAAAAAACAACAAATTAATATTTTATTTACTCTTTAATATTTATACAATGGTCCTTTGTTATTTATTTTCTCCCCCTTCCACCCAGCTTACTTTTGCCATATGTCTTGGGAAATTTCCCACAACATATGAAATTTGCTTTTATCGTATTTCAAACCAATAAAATAAAATCCCCACTCTCTTATCTCAAAAAATAAAACGTATAATATCATTATTATAAACCATTTAATTCGAAAGAAAAATAAGTACAAGTTAATCTAATTTTAAAAAAAAATTTAAGGATTAAAATTGAAAATTCTTAGAAAAAAAAATATCATTAAACAACAAATGAAGTGTAAACCCCAAAAATTATTTAGCTAAAGGTCTACAAATATAAAATTTAGTGGCATAAAATCCCGTCTAATAGTATTCCCTTTAGGAAAATTCTGAACACCTATGGTCCTGTCGGTCTAACGTCGATTACCCTTCCTCACTCCTTATCCCCCCCTATAAATTAAACAATTAGGTTTTTAATTGCCCACACTTTAAAAATTCGTGGTAATTTATTTAATCTTTAATACCGTGAAAAACATAATTGCCTTAATCATATTACATATTAGATATATAAATTAGCATATTATATACTTGGATTTATTTCCTTTCTTACAAAATTAAAGTACGAACGTTTTCCTTAGGCAGATCATACAAATAAACATTTCTTTGAATTAAACTATTGTTATCTTATTACGAATCCAATTATGTATTTCTTAAAATTATTTTGGTTATTAAATTTTTTATTCTTCTTTTTCTTTTATATGTTTAAATATGTTAAAATTAAATAATTTATAAATGCACTTCACTTTGGTTAAAACAAATTTATTATTAACATACTATATCTATCAATATAAAAAAATATATAATTAAAAGTAGGGGAATTAAAAAAAATGATAATTTATATTTAGGTATGATCGGCGGGGCTTAATGACCCATGTATGGATATGCAGTTGGAACGACAGATTTCAATTGATATTTCGAAGGTAGGAGCCTTCTTTTGGATCACCTGTGTTTAAACGTAACCTTTACCCTAATGTTTTGAATAATTTTAAGGCTTGGGGTCCAAATGATCCACAGGTTTTTGTTATCGCATAATTAACTATCCATTTAAAAATTAGAAAGGGATAAATAGGTTTATATAGTTTCATTTTTTTCTAACAAAGGTTTATTATCTTGCGTATCAGGCCAATCCGGTAAAACTTTCATGGCGAAAAGATAATATCGCGAATTTATTTCTGCGAAACCTTAACCGCAAATACACTTTAGCGAACCAACCCTTTATAGCGAATTTTTCACCGCTAATGTATATGCGCGAAATATTATTGTTAGCTCATTATCAAGCGAGAGACTCCCGCAATTTCTTAGGTTACAGTTACAGGCAAACATTCCTCTAGTGCAAAACTCACCGCAATCTTAAATCTCCCACAAAAATCTTTTAGTTTTCAATCTATAAATAATAATTGTGAGAAACAGTATTTCATTATTTTTCAAAAAAAATTTTAAAACTTTTTCAAAAAACATGTCTAGTTTGTCGATTTCCTTCTAACTAATAAGTTTTATCCAATAATAACACATCAAACCATGTGTTTGTGTTACTTAATTTTAGGAACTAGAATAGGAACATTTTATATGGACAGGAATAATTATTTTATTTATCATAGTTATCTTAACTTTGAGCAAGAACAATTCAATCATTTATAACCAGTTATTTAAAACATAGTATATTATAACTCCACAATATTATCGAGTTATGAAGACACAAAAAATTAACATGAAAGTATAAATCTTAGAATTGAATTTATTTGTAGCTTACATATTTTAAACATATATTAAATGTACTCTAATAAAGTGACCTTTACTGCTAAATTTCATGATATCCTTTATCAAGAGAATCAAAAAAAGTGACAAATTATTTAAAATGTTTATCTAAGGTTTTAATATTAATATAATTTTTAATGAATAAAAATATATAATTTTTATTGAATAAAAATATATAATTTTTTTATAAAAAAGTGTTTAATTATGCTTAATTATATCACTAAAACAGCTGAAAAAAATATACACGATAGATGTGGTCTACAGACCCTAATTCCATAAGCACATTATAACATATGAATTACCGAGGAAAATCAAAATTAATTTTGCTCTTATATATACTTTACCTAAAAATATTAAGCTATTAAAAGATCCAGACAAAAATATAGGAAGAATTTTGACTAATAACACCTTTGAAATGACTGGGATATGCATAGCCCCAATCTTATGAAGGGTTTCTCAAATGAAAACCTTTGGGAGAAGTCTAACCATACCCAGGTTCACGTGTCTTTAAAAAAGAAACGTCTTACTTTCTTTGCCCATATTTTGAGAAACCATAGCAACAATAGCCTCGTTATTGATGCCATTAATTGGTTATACTCCTTTAATGGGAAAACATATTGCAAATATAAGACATTATGGTTCTACAGAGCCTTGAAGGACATAATGGATCTAAACTTAAATTTGAAGCAGTTCCTAAGGCTAAATAAAAACAAAAAATCTATAAAAAAATTACTAAAATTTAAATCGAACTACCTAAACCTCTCATAATTTTTTTTTTGTATTTCAGGTTATTTAATTTCTTCATCTCTCAATTTTACCTCTTACTTTGTCTTTCACCTTTTCTGTGAATTACTTACTTCACTCACTTTAGCTTTTATTTATCTTATTGACTTAATGTACTAATTTAAATCAGTCCGTCCCATATTTTTAATTACATATACGTTGTACTTCTATACATTCCCATTATATGAGTTAAGATATATTAATGACATTTTGAGGAATAGTTTGTGATTTGCGTTTCCTATGTGGGCTAAAATTTTTCTTTGGCTCCTTTTAACTTAGTTTTTGGGTATGTTTTGTATTTTTCCATAGTTTTTGATAGTGATGTTAAAAGTTACTTTTGAAACATAACTAGTTACAGTTACTAGTTACATTGGCAAAAACATAACTAGTTACAATTACTAGTTACATTTTTACAAAAGTAACTAGTTATTAGTTACAGTTATTTTCAAAAGTAACTAGTTACTTACTTTATACATCCTTCAGATGCGCATTATTTATTTATTAAATGCATTTATTTAATATAAAAAAAATTAGGATAAACAAAGTATAATCAGTTATTTAAAATAATATACAATTTATTTATATAAAAAAATATCGCAAAATTGAATATTTACATCGAATATAAAAATATATATTTGCATTGAAAAAAAAACATTTATTTTTCATAAAAATTAGAATCTAATAAATGTTTATTTGCTTTTAACAACAAATTAATTTCAAAGTTATTATCTAGGAGACGTGCTCGTTTATCTCCAAAGATGAGCTTACCTAGACTGAATAAGCGCTCTACGGGAGCACTTGATGTTAGAACAACATTATATTTAATAAAGAGTAATTTTAACTTTGGAAAATCGTTATATAAAGATAAAGTGTTGTTATTAGATTTGATAAAGTTTTCTATAAGTTCATTATCCAGAATATTTTGGCGCTTTAGGTCAAAAAATTCAACTACATCAAGTGATGTTGGTTTTGAGCATGATTCATTCGTCTGGGATTCACTTTTAGGTATTAAGGTATTTATTAAATTTAAAATTTCCTCCTTTTTTGCTTTATTAATTTCTTGCTTAATCCAAGGCCAGTCAGTTTTAAATAAAGGATGAAGAATTGCAGCAATGATGTTGTCATTATCATAAAGATTATTAAACCTATAACATGATATTATTAATTTATAAATATTTGATTTTAGTTACCTTTTTTCAATACTAGCTAATATAGTATCCTTTAGAGGTTGACAATATTTTAATCCCTGCACATCTGCCATACATATATTTGTGTTATTGTTGGGAATAATCAGACATTTTCACAAAATTTTAAATTAATAAATTTAATTTAAAAAATAAATTTAATTTAAAATTAATTTATCACAACATATTAAAAATAAAATTAATTATTTGAATATATCTTTAAAAGTAACTAGTTACTTTTGGCAGTTACATTTCAAAATTTTTAAATAGTTACAGTTACTAGTTACAATTTTAAAAATATAACTAGTTACAGTTATTTTTTAGCCAAAATGTAACTAGTTACAGGTAACTAGCTACTTGTAACTAGTTACCTTAACATCACTAGTTTTTGAGTTTGTAATGTTTCTGGGGTAGAGGGTATCCTCTTCTGTTTATGAGACATTTATTTGTTTATAGTCATCTGTTTCTTTTATTTTATTTTTTATTTATTTTTATTTATTTATTCTTTCTCTTCCCTAGTTTCTTTGGTCTCTCTAACATGTCCGCCCCCTACATAAACTAATATAGGAATAGTGGATGTGTCCTCAGTCTAGAAATTACCGATTTCTCTCTTATCTTCCATACTTTTTGTATATATTTAAAAGTTTCCACTCGCCTTTGTATTCTAATTTCTCTTCTTCTTTGCAACTCCTTCTATTATTAAGTATATTTCTTAAATACATTGTGACTACATTTACCCTGTTCTAACTATAAGTTTTTGAAGTGATTACTTGTTTTTCTTGGGAAAAATAAGAAAAAACTGATTTAAAACTGTTTATTTTTATTATTATTATTTTTTATTATTGCTAGTTAACTAGATCTAACGTCTTTAACTTTTTCAAAACATTACATCTTAATTGGAGTCTACATATAATACATTGGTCGTTGCCAGTGTTTCTTCTTGTTTTTATTTTTATGATCTTTATTTATTTAGGAGTGGCAAGAGTTTAGCCTTGTTTTACTCCTTTTTACCTTGGAGGTAGGGGATTTTCTTCGTCATTGTTTTCGAAGCACCCAAACATGTATTAGTGGTTTTCTGGGTTTGAAGATGTTAGGGTCTTCCCTTTTCTGACAACGAAGC